TTGTCTCCCAGTCCTTATGTCTGAGGTAAGGGACGACTCTTGAAAGAAGATTGAAGAGCTCATCTGGGTGTTGTTTCTGCCAGTCAGCAAGTTGATTGACAGCCGTGTCCCGAATGAGACGGGTGCTTCCCGTTTCGAGAATCCTGTGATATCATGTCAGCAGGCGTCCAAAATGGCAAGCATGGCAAGCGGTTTAGCGGCGCGCGTCCGTGTCGTCAGGGCTCATCTATCGCGGGCGCGACAATGAGACGACAAGGATAGGAGCCCAATGAGGGGACTTGGGTTGTCTTGGGGATTTACTCACGTGACCAATCTGTCAAGTCTGTTACAACAAGGTTAGTGCTGGTTCTGAGCTGAGGAATAAGGGCGATCACCAGGATCGAGCAGGAACAACGCACCTCGACGCCATCTTGTATTATGATGGACTTGATGGGAGTTTCATCATAGGTTGAGCTTCTGGGTGTGTTAGTGGCAATCCCGGTGAGTTGTTAGGAGGGAGTGAAGGAGAGCAGGTAGCGAAATGGATGAGCGCATGGATGGGGCAAAATTGGAAAGAGAAAACGTGGAAACAGCAAGGAAGTTTAAACACGTGGTGTATGCCATCCTGACTTGCCCAAACGAAGGTGATGCACTTTGGGGTGAAGCTTGAATCATGACAGCTAGGGAAAGCTGATGTAGGTGGGATGAGATCGATAGAGCAACAAGTACGGGATAAAGCGATGGGAATGCGCCAGACAGAGGAAGACCCAATGAGATTGACAGAAGAGGTCGTCCAAAGTAAGATATGAGAGAAGGGGTTGAGTGTGCAAGTGACGGGGTGGAAAACATCGGTTAAGAGAATAAGATACGTACCAAAGCTGAGCAAGCGGGTAAGGGCGATTGGCATCAATCAGTTGGATGGGGCCGAAAGCAATCGCCGCGATCCCGTCCACTGCGGATCAGGCCGAGTCTTGGTTAACAGAAGATGCGACTACCTTGCATGCATCGGATACGCAGGATTGAAATGGTGTCGCCGTGTCGGGTCGAATCGGAATTTGACACCAAAACAACCGAGACCGACGATGATGAACACCGACGAAGGGTGGTTGGTTGGTGGTGATGGTTCAGTCGGTGTTTTTTTGATGGACGCGCGCGCGCAACAAGCACGTGGTGATGCGATTGCGGATCGGAGTTGAAAAAAAAAAGAAGGTCCTCCAGGTTTGAGGCTCCAGAAAGACAAGAGGGACGACGCCTTAAGTGGAAAGCAAGCGACGCGTTTTTTGGTGGAGGACTGGATGCAGTGCCCGGCAGGTGCGAGGCGGGAATGCAGTGTTGCGACGGATGGCCTAAGGCAAGGCAAGTGACGGGGCTCTCGGCTCGGGGTCGTTGGCGCCTGTCGTTGGTGCTGTGGTGATGTTGGTTGCCTGTGGTACTGGGCGAAGTGGAAAGAATGAACCAATTAAATGGCTCAGACGACCGGGTTGGATGTTGGATGGGGACCGGGTCGAAAAAGAGCAGCACGTCTGGTCGCCTCGGGACTGCGCTCTGGAGGGAAAATTTGGGGTGGAGGGGCCCGGACAGTCTTAAAGGCATGCCTGCAGTACTTTTATAATTACCCGTGGGCCCGTGAGAGAAAAAAAATGGAAGGAAAGCCAGCCAGCCGTTCCTTCACGCAGCGACGGTGTCTCGCTTAATTTCCTTAGCGTCATCTAGTGTCCCTGGTCCCTAGTGGCTAGAGGTAAGGTACTGGTCCGCCTCCACTCCCCAGCAAACAATAAACCCTGTCGCCTGCTGTCGTCGTCGTCGTCGTCTTCGTTGTGCCTCGTCCTTCTTTTGCTCGCCGGCCATCCATAACGCATGCATGCCACTCACTCAATCTCATCTTCGTCATCCTTTTTCGTCCATTTTCATCAACGCCTCCGGCGCCTCGTCTCTTTCCATGTCGTAATCTCTGCAGGTCGAAGCCTCGAACTTGCTTGCACCTTGAGCAAACAATCAGAATTTTCATCCATTTCAACGATTGGGGACAATCCATACATATTCTTGAGAACCAACATCTAGCCATATCCGTTCTTCTCGACTGAAAAACTTCACATCGTCCTCTAGCTAACCTTCAATACCCGCAGCGCCACTCATCGCATATCTACATCAAAGGCGCAATTAGAAAATTTTCAGAGCAGACGTTGAACTCGGGCAGCTGAATGCCATCCGACCAAACCCCCAATTAGAAACCGCAAACTGCAAGCGCGCCTTGGGAAAAACCAAAGAACGGTGTAAGAACCGTTTCACCCACTTTGTCCTCGAGAGCCCTCGGGACCTTTCTTTTCTATTTTGAGTTTTCTCTGTATCTCTGTCATCTATCCCCACGCGCAAAGTTACCGCTCGGCACTTCCCATGGCAGACTAACTAGCCTATCATGATCGTCTCCCGTTGCCAACAGGTTGGTTGGTACTCGGAAAGACTCAAGGGTGCGCATGTGCCATCATGTTGCTCTCCCTTGTGTGAGGTGACCGGTGGGCTTATCTCAATGTCTTGATCTTTCTTGGACAGGCGAGACCTGATGGACGGCAGATCTCTAGCGGTCTCTCATGGACGACGCTTACACGTAAGGTAGCTGTCATTGGCCCCTTTCCACCTATTAGTGATTGGACATGGCTCATTCTTCATCAAAGAACCAACTTGGTGAGGTACCGGTTAGTACGACACCGAACGGCTCCAACGGCGAACCCCAGGTCTTCCATCGCATCTGAACAGACAGCCAGATGGGATAGATCCGTGGCTTTCAAGCCTGGCCTGCGATTAACATGCCGGGCTGCCCCTTGGAGACTAGTTCAAACCCGCACTACACACAGACAGGACGCCTCTTTCTTTGGACCTATCAACTGCACTGGGCAGTAGGCAGCCTCTCACCACATCGTGCCTCTTTGAAAATCCGACGACTTCGGTGAACTGGACAAGGCCATAGATCACTGGACGACTGGTCTCTCTGAGTGAATCTCACTGCGTGATCGATCGAGTTGATGGACGAGATGGGTGGGAGCCGACAGGACAGCGACGAACGGGATGCGACAGGTAGACACTACTGCTGCCAACACTGGCAATGCAGGAGACGGCGCGAGGATCATCGCAGGCATAGCTAGAGCAGGGCGTGCAGCTGCGCCGAGTCCTGGTTTGATGCCTTGAATTGGAAATAAGCTGGCTCGACTGGCACAGGACGTGGGGTACGGAGTAAGGTTGGGAATCTTGGCATGACCGTCCAGGGTCCCGAAATTCTAGCGTTCCAGCGGCACGCCATCGCTGATTCGTCTTGGGTCATCATTCTTCTCTGTCTCTGTCCCTTTCTCTTCTTCGACTGGACTGGTCTCAACGGGGACGGCTGGCTGGCTGGCCGACTGTCTGATATGGTTACTTACTGCATATGTGCTGTGCCGTAGCAGTGGCATGGCAGTGACAAAAGCCCTTTTTTTGGGCTGTCCGGATTACGATGGCCTCATTTCACTTCTCGCTCCGCCCGTCCCGTCTGTCCCTGGTTGTTCCAGGGCGACCTGGAATGTCTTACCCGCCTCGGTCATTTTGCTCCCCTGCTGCTGCTTCTGTCAGTTGCCATGCCCTCCAGCCTATTCTTATTCTGTCTTCCCTTTCCTCCATCTGTTACGTGTTCCAGAAAGGCTCATTGAGTGCAGGCACTCGCATTATCGGATCCGACCATCAATTCGCCTCAACTTTGACAGTCGCGCCGACACCTTATCCAGCAACGTGAACGTGATACGTGGTCTCTCTCCCCAGATGCTGCGAGAGTACGTGTACGCCGTGTCGGTCGTGTGGTCAGTGCGGGCTGCTCGACAGCGACTCGACCGGGGTACATATGGGATGGATCCAGCTCTATCCATGTTGAAGCTCAAACTAGTCGTTGATCGCCCGGTATCATGAATGCTCCTCAGGCACACCGACACGCTCACGCGGTCGCACGGCACATCCACAATCTTCCCCCCTTCCTGACCTTGAGACGCAGACAGCTCTGCATGCGCACTGGCGCCGGCTCTTTCAACCGGATGGAGGCCAACGCGGAAGTGTCGGAACCCTTGAGGGAGACCGCCCTCACCAGCACATATAGCGAAACGAATTGATGGTTGCTTAGCCTTCCCAGTCCGTATGCGGCCGAGTGATTTCTTTCACGACCCTCTGAGATCGTCGGAGATTCGCGGACATATCCTTTATGTCATCTTGATGCGCGTAATCCTGACTCCACGCCTTCGATTTGGATTATGGTTTCGACAAACTTAGGCCTCTGCCATTCAAAGTTCAAGCAACGGCGAGCGCAAGGAAGATTCAGGCCAGGAGATTGTGACTGAGCTGAACGAAGCCATCGAACGGCCACTGCCGCAGCCGCTCGCGGTGTCAGCCAAAGCTGTGTCGATAAGCTTAGAGCATAACCAGACGAATTTGAATTCGGCAATGTCGAGTCAAGTGCCCGCAAATGACGGGGTTGGGCTTTTAGTTGCCAAGAGAGGAAAGGCTGAGCGCAACGGCCAGGACTTGGATCCTAACACTGAAGCAACAAAGCCGTTGTGACATTTCTTTTCGAAGAAAAATCTGTCGCGGCTCTTTGACCGCTAGTGAGCTGTCATGGCAGTTCTTTGAGCCGGACGGGAAGAGTGTTGTGCAACCGCTTCCTCGGGACGTTTGGCGTGGCCCATCTATATATAATCCCGGGGTAAGACCACAGTCCAAATACCGCTCGGATTCGGTTTGCACACTGTATTACGACCTGCCAAGTTCTGCCAGCTGGCTACCCGTCCGTGAGGTACCTTCGACGGCGTTGATCCTCAGGCACGCGCCACCTGCCAAATGAGCGCACCCCAGATCGCGACTTCTCGACGCGTTCAATCCCCACCATCACCAACCATCCGTCGCAACGCCTTGACAAATCGATGAAAATATTGCGCGACGCCTACCCAATCCCGTCAGCGACTTCAACCGCGCAAATCCGCTGCCCTTGAGGCCGCAACCTCTCGCCCACCATGTACATTAAGCAGATCATCATCCAGGGCTTCAAGAGGTTTGTGCGCCCCTCGCGACAAACATCGCCAAATCAGAACCCCGCTGACCCGACCACAGCTACAAGGACCAGACCGTCATCGAACCCTTCTCCCCCGGCACGAACGTCGTCGTTGGTCGCAATGGATCTGGAAAGAGTAACTTCTTCGCGGCCATCCGCTTCGTCCTGAGCGATGCCTACACCCAGATGACTCGCGAGGAGCGCCAGGCTCTCCTGCACGAAGGTTCTGGATCGGCCGTCATGTCGGCGTACGTCGAGATCATTTTCGACAATAGCGACGAGCGCTTCCACGGCGGAGGCAAGGAGGTCATCCTGCGACGCACCATCGGAACCAAGAAGGATGAGTACTCGGTCGACCGCAAAGTTGTGACCAAGAGCGACATCATCAACCTGCTAGAGGCAGCCGGTTTCTCGAGATCGAACCCTTACTACATCGTACCACAAGGTCGCGTCACCGCGTTGACGAATATGAAGGAGTCCGACAGGCTCACCCTGCTGAAGGAGGTTGCGGGTACCCAGGTGTACGAGGCGCGTCGAACGGAGTCTTTGAAGATCATGAACGAGACGAACAACAAGAGGGAGAAAATCGACGAGCTTCTGGGGTACATCAAGGAGCGACTGACCGAGCTCGAGGAGGAAAAGGAGGAGCTTCGAGGCTTCCAGGACAAGGACCGTGAGCGCAGATGTCTTGAGTACGCGCTCTACTACCAGGAGCAACAGCAAATCCAGGACCAGCTTGAGCGTATCGAAAACATTCGCCAAAACGGCCTGGAAAACACCGATTCGATCCGTTCCGAGCTGAAGGATGCCGAAAAGATGCTTTCCAAGTTGGAAGCTGACATTCACAAGTTGACGAAGGAGATGGATTTGGTCAAGGTTGAGCGTCGCCAACTCGAGGAGGACCGCCGCGAGACAGCCAAGTCGAAGGCAAAGGCGGAGCTCAAGGTCAAGACTCTGTCAGAAGGCCAGTCAGCGGCAGTCCAAGCCCAGCAACAGCACGAAGCCGATCTTGCATCCACCATTGAAGAGATCTCTTCGAAGAAGGCGGAGCTTAACAACATCATCCCTGAATACCTCAGACGAAAGAGTCAAGAAGAGGAAAAGAAGCGGCAGCTGGATACAGCCGAGGCTGCGAGGAACCGTCTCTTCACAAAGCAAAGTCGTGGTTCTCAATTCAAGAACAAAGCCGAGCGAGATAAGTACTTGCGAGCCGAAATTGAGGATCTGCACTCGAGACTCAGCGGCCACAAGGCGAACAAGATGGACGCCGACGAGGACGTGGTCAGAACCGAAAACAACATCAAGCTATTGGAGAACGAGGTTGCCAAGCTCAGGCAACAACTGCAGAACTTCAGTGGCACCCGCAACGACCTCGCCGAGGAGGAACACAAGGCTCGGGAGATATTGGACAAGCTCGATGATGAGAGGAAAATCCTCTGCCGTCAGGAGGAGAGACTTGACACTGTTCTTTCGGACGCCCGACAAGAGAGAGAACGGGCAGACCGCGAGCTCAGCACGATGATGGACAGGGACACGGCACAGGGTCTGGCCACGATTCGTCGGCTGAAGGCCCAAGAAGATATCCCTGGCGCGTATGGGACGATGGCCGAACTCCTCAAGGTCAGCGACACCTACAGACTGCCTGTTGAACAGATTGCCGGCAACAGCTTGTTCCACTACATCGTGGACACCGACCAGACTGCGACGTACTTGACAAATCATCTGCGCTCCAACTATGGCGGTAGAATTACGTTCATGCCGCTCAACCGACTTCATCCCAGGCACGTCAACATGCCGAGGTCTCAAGAAGGTATCGTGCCACTTATAAGCAAGATCAACTACGACTCCAAGTTTGAGAAGGCGTTCCAACAGGTGTTTGGTAAGGTCGTCGTCTGCCCCAACCTGAGCATAGGAGGCCAGTACGCAAGGAGTCATGGCGTCGACGCTATTACCCTCGACGGTGACACCACGAACAAGAGAGGTGCGATGACTGGTGGATTCATCGATCCTAGGCGATCGAGGCTTGAGGCGGTCCAGGCCGTCAACAAGTGGCGAGAGGAATATGAGCGTCTCCTCGCGCAGGCCGACGAATTCAGGGCCCAGATCGAGCAGAAGGACCAGGAGATTACCCACGCCTTGGGTGAGCTCCAGAAGGCTGTTCAGAAACTCCGCCAGCTGGATGCCGGTTTCGAACCTCTAAAACACGAGCTTGCCAACAAGAACTCTCAGCTTGAGCACGAGAAGAGGCGCTTGAGCGATGCCAATAGACACCGTGAATCTGTCGAGCGGGACATGAGGGTTTTCACCGAGAGTCTTGCCGCAGATGAGGCTGAACTGGCATCCGATTTCAAGAAAGCGCTCAGTAATGCTGAGGAGAAGCAGCTTGTCGAGCTTGATGGCCAGGTGCAGAAGCTGCAGAAGGAGTGGAACGATGCCAGCAAGAAGAGGAGAGATGCCGAGAGCCGGAAACAAATCCTCGAAACGGACATCAACCAGAACCTCCAACTGCGTCTGGATCAGCTCAACTCCCAGGCCTTCGAGAACAACGCTTCCTCAGGCGAAGCTGGCAGTCTCAAAGAGGCCCAGAGAGAACTCAAGAAGCTTCAGAAAGAAGCCAAGGCCATCGAGGCCAAGATGCAGGAGATCGAGACCAGAATTGAGGAGCTCGGTGGTAAGCTGGACCGTCGGGAGGCCAAGAAGGCTGAGCAGGAGGAGATTCGGGCCACTGTTGCGGCAAAGGAGGCCAAGCAGCGCAGCGCCATCGAGAAGAGCATGTCGAAGAAGGCCGTCTACACCGCGCAGGCTGCGGATGCCGCGAAGGCCATCAGAGACCTCGGTGTCCTGCCTGAAGAGGCCTTCGAAAAGTACGAAAACATCGACCCTAGGCAAATCGACTCTAGGCTGAAGAAGGTCCGAAACGCGCTGAAGAAGTTCCAGCACGTGAACAAGAAGGCCTTCGAGCAATACAACAGCTTCACGTCACAGCAGGATCAACTGCTCAAGCGTCGGAAGGAACTCGACTCCTCTCAGCAGTCTATCACGGATCTGGTGAACCATCTCGATCAACGCAAGGACGAGGCTATAGAGCGTACCTTCAAGCAGGTGTCGAAGGAGTTCGCTACGATTTTCGAGAAGCTCGTTCCGGCCGGACACGGCCGTCTGGTCATCCAGCGCCGAACGGATCGCCGCATCGACCCCGAGGAATCCGACGAGGAAGCCAGGGGCAATGTTGAGAACTACACTGGTGTCGGTATCAGCGTTTCTTTCAACTCCAAGACGCTCGATGAGCAGCAGAGGATTCAGCAACTCAGTGGTGGTCAGAAGAGTAAGAAGCCCCGCCCGTCCTATCGATTGCCATGCCAAGTACTAATGTTTTCTTCCAGGTTTGTGCGCCCTTTGTCTCATTTTCGCCCTCCAGCAGACGGAAAGCAGTCCTATGGTCATCTTCGACGAGGTCGACGCCAACCTCGACGCTCAGTACCGTACCGCCGTCGCCAGCCTCCTCCAGTCCATCTCCCAGGACGCCGGCACGCAGTTCATTTGCACTACTTTCCGTCCCGAGATCGTCCACGTCGCCGACAAGTGCTACGGTGTCACCTTCCACAACAAGACGAGTTCCATCGACTGTGTTCCTACCGAGGAGGCCCTCAGCTTCGTCGAGGGCGTTGCCGCGGGGAAATAGATGATGAGAGGTAGTGTTTCGCGGTCACTGTTCATAATTTGATATGAGGCCGGTTGTCTCGTCTTGGGTCAGCCGGGCGCGGCGTTGGGGCGATTTGTGGTCGATGGATGGCCGGTTGGTTGGTTGATTGATTGATATCACGAGGCTTGCGTGCTTGCTTACCCCTGGAGAGGAGATGTCTCCCACCGTATTTCTTATTTGGAGGAAATGATGGGGCTCTAGATTATTGCTCATTATTTCATTGTTTTTAACGGCTGATTACACTCCTCGCCAACTTGCCTTGTTGACATTTCAAGAGTGCCCGCCGCGATACCGAACTTCTGAAGCCACGCCTCACCCCGGAGAGATATCATAGCAGTCGTCTTCAACTCTAGTTTAGTGAAGTCGCCGTGTGTCCGCAGCTTTTCGATGACGATGCGAGGCTCACGAGACGTCCCATGTACCGGTGATGAAAGACCGCACTGGCAGCGAACACAGTTGAAAGAGGCAGACTAAATCAACCCGATATTAGCTACGGGCTGCGTAAGACGACGACGACAAAGGACAACAGCAACAGCGACAGCGACATTAGCAACATCAGCCCTCTCCACTTGCCGCATCCCAGAGACAACTGCCTGAAGTCCCGCATACGCCCGGAGTCATTTGCTCCTAGCTGTCTCTCCTCATTTGTCTGCGACCCTTTTCTTACTCCATGTCCTAGAAACATCCCTCGTTCGTTTCCACAGGCTGTCTATTGGTCCCATGCCTCCTCCCATTATCACGGGCTCATGACGGGCCGCGGTCACTTGGTGATGGCTGGCATCGTGGACTGGGTGAGATATTCCGTTGCAGCCAGTTGTTACGGGCATTGCGGAGTGCGATTTACCCAGCCACGCGTTCGATCTTTGTCTTCCCATTGTGTTGCACAATTGCGGAACATTGCTTGGCTCTGCAGTTTAGTCTCAACATACAAGCGAGGCTGTAACCAGCCTCTCTCCGTTCTACTGTACTTGACCGCTCATGGTATGGGCTGGTAGAAGATGGAGAAGAAGCAGGATAATGGAACATGAGGAGAGCGTGTGTGGGAGAGGAAGTGCGCGACGTGCGCGAGGAGTCGCCAGCTCGCGGTTTGCTCGCAGGTGCCTGCTCTTGGGCAATCGCGACATGGCTTCGACAGGCGTGAGCGACGACAAACAAGGCCAATTAATAGAGAATGACCAGGCTAGTATGTATCACACGACGCGCAGTGTCTGACTTGGGTACGATGTTAGGGAAAATTCGTGGATAAGGTTCACATTCCGAGGCTTTGCAGGCGATCAAGAGGAGACCGACTGCAAGTCACAAGAGTTAAGCGTAGAGTACGATTGCGCGTCGCATCCTCTCTTACCCAGCAACATCAACTTCGAAAGCGATGTCGTCAAATCGAACGGACATGATTTCCACCCCAGATGCGGCATGCCGCGGAGAATCGGCAGCGCGGCTATTCCATTACATCCCTTCCTCATCCATTCAAGAATCACACGGGGACATCACATCTATGATAACTGACTAAACCCAAGCAGTTCACCAAGGAAAGCCATGCGAATTTCCTTCAAAGAGAACCAAACTTGACGACGTTGTTCAAAGACCATGACTAGCAAATCAGAGACAACGCTTCGGAAACCGAGGAAGCCTTCGCTCCCGTCGTGTTGGTGGGAATCTAGATGTCAGGCACATCAGAAGAAAAATTCCGACTAGGTTATCCTGCCTTCTCATTCCCAGACCAGGAGCGAGGAGTACCAGAGATACCCACGCCTTGATCAGCACGCAAAGAAACGGTCCGTATGAATCGCAAAGCAAGCAATACGCAGTATAAGCATAGCCAGCGTGGCAAACACGAACGCCCCTCCTCCTCCCATCCTTCGATAGCCTAGACGTCAGCTCTACCAGAACAAGCTCCAAGGATGCCCCCGATGTTCGAGGACTTGTCAAAAAAGAAGTGGCCGAATGAAGGATGGGAGGGGGAAGGGGGGAACATGGATCGATAGCCCAACGGTTTCCTCGCGGCATGAACGAAGTAGTGTTCGTTCAATCCAGATCCCGATAGTAAAGCAAAACCGAATCCGGCCCGTGACAAAAACCACTTTTTTCCTTTCCCTCGTGTTTTTTTTTTCTTGCCTCCTCACGGCTGACCGAATGGACCCAAACCTCTCCGACACGCAAAAGAGGAAGATGAGAAAGACAATCCCATACCCCGGGGTTTCCGGGAAGCGATCGAGCCCCCTTCCCAAAACTCGTTATCACGAAAATCCGGGAAACTCTGTCCATATCCTAATCATTCATCATCATCATCCGTGATCATCCCAACCGAAGGCGATCGATCCCGTATCTGCTCCGTCGCACACACAGGAAAAACTATGACCAGAAGGAGATCCCGCATCCCCCAAAAGCTGAAGCACCGTCTTGAGTCGCGATAGGATCGGCGAGTTATCGGAGGAGGCGAAGATGCGCGCGTGTGTGTGTGAGAGCCGGATCGGGAGGGTGGGAACTCGGGCCACCATATGGTGTCTCTATCTTGCCTTACTCCTTCAAACTCGTGCCTGCCCGGGCCGCTTACCTACGACTCCTACAAGAGGAAAGGAAAGGGAAGAAGGAGACGGGGACGCCACATGCATGAAGCGGTCCGGGAGTCGGCCTGTGCCAGCGCGCCTGTGTTCGACCGACTCCTGCTAGAAGACTTGCAAAACAGCCGGAGTTGCGGATCATGTGACGACAGGTTTTCCCGAGCTGGGTGACATGGGACTGGGTTGTTGTAAGTCCTCTTGGTTTTCGGAGGGTGCGGAAAGGCCAGACATACCATTCTCTGCCAGTAAGTAGGCCCTTCCTTTGGGGAAGTTAGTTGAGCCCAACTTGTGAAGCAAGTTGTGATTCCTGAGTAGTTAGTTGGTGTCAAACTCAAGACATATCACAATGCAGCGAAGAGGAACGAGGTTGTTTGTTTAGAACATAATAAAATCGATTTGATTATCCGACCGGACCCGACCAACGCCAGAACAATGGTCTTTTGTTACAATTAAGAAAAATCGGGGGGCCATTAGTGACAGTTGTTTGTTTGTGTAAAACCCCCTTCTCCGTTCCTTTCCAACCCCTTCCGAAGGTTTCCTCCTTTTTCTTCTATGATGATATGACGAGAAAATGATTTTTTAAAAACCCGATGTGAGAAAAAAAGGAAAAAAAAATGGCAAGAAATGCTTTGTAGGTGGGGGAATAAACACGCTGTTGCGCCATGTCTTTCTCGCACTTTCTCTCTCTTTCCTCTAAAACAAGAAATGGTATAATTTGGCACGCTTAGCCCTCCTCGACGACGGCGCGGTTGGCAATGTAGAACCTCTCGCCCTTGTCGTCCTTCTCGTGCTCGAGGGCGACCTTGCTCAGCTGCGTCAGGACGTTCTCGATGAGAGTGTCGGTGACGGAGCGCTTCTTGCGGCCCATGTCGTTCAGGCTCCTCATGTTGGTCATGACGTAGTAGACCAGGGCCATGACGATGGTGACGGCGACGGAGTAGACGAAGACGACGCAGACGGTGACGAAGTCGGTGCGGCCGTTGTCGGACAGGAAGCGGTTGAGCGAAGGGGGAGAGGCGGGCTCGCCACGGCCACCGGAGAACCAGCCGAAGACGCAGAACAGGATGGAGAGGACGTCGACAGCGGCGATGGCGCCGATGAGCTGGAAGGAGGGGAAGGTCTCGAAGCCACGGGTGACGAAGATGAGCCAGTTCTGGGTCAGGGAGATCTCGAGGAAGAGGATCTCCTGGATGGAGCCGTACTCGTGGATGACACCGCCGTCGGTGAGGTACATGGTGCCGCGGAGGACCCAGGTACCGGCGGCGAGCAGGGTACCGAGAACGATGGAGATGATCCAGATCTTGGGCAGCTGCCACTCGACGGGGCGCTTCTCGAAGTGAGCGTTGTCGTACTGCGAGATTGTTAGTTACTGCTGGTAGGTAGAGAATGTATGCGGTGAAACTTACGGCGACGGCGATGGTGGCCAAATCGGCGAAGAGAGCGAGGAAGACGATAAGATCGGCGCGAACAGTTTCGTTGATGATAATCATGGAAGTGACCAAGTAGATCTCAAGGTGCAAGCAAAGAGCGATACGGTACTGGATGTAGGCCTTCATGCGCTGGAAGATCTGGCGGGAGAGCTTGATGGCGGAGACAATGGTGGAGAGACCGGGGGCAAGGAAGACGATATCGGCGGCGGCCTGGGCGGCCTCGGTGGCACCCTCGACGGCAATACCACAGTCGGACTTCTTCAGGGAGGGAGCATCGTTGACACCGTCACCAGTCATGGCAGTCAAGTGGCCACGCTGCTGAAGCATTTCGACGACCTGGTACTTGTGCTCAGGGAAGACTTCGGCGAAACCGTCGGCGCGCTCGCAGAGGTCGTGGATGGAAGTGCCGGCCATGTCGGAGTGGAGGAGCTTGTCGGAGTTGTAAACCTTGGTACCAAGCTGAAGCATGCGGCAAGTCTCGACGGCAATGGCGTGGGCGTCACCAGTAAGCATCTTGACGGAGAGACCAAGGGCCTGGGCCTCGAGGATGGTCTGGCCAGTGTCGGAACGAGGGGGGTCGAAGAGGGACAGCATGCCGAGCATCTCCCAGGGGCCATCCTCCTCCTTGACGGCGACGGCGAGGGAACGGAAACCACGGCGGGCGAACTCAGCGGCCTTCTCCTTGAAGAGAGCGGATTGCTCCTCGGTGCAGTCGGTGAGGGCGAGGACGGCCTTGGGGGCACCCTTGGCGCAGGTGTAGCGGACTCCACGGTGGGTGGCGATGGCGGTGATACGCTTGGAGACGGGGTCGAAGGGAGTGAACTTCTCGGTCTTCCAGCCGTCGGCGATGAGCTCCTTGGCCTTCGGGTAGCGCTTGAGGGTGAGGACGGTGATCTTGTCAATGGGGTCGAGAGCCTTGATGTTGTGGGAAGAAGCGAGAGCGGCGACGGCCATCATCCAGTTGATGTCAACACCCTCCATGACGAAA